CACACACACACACACACACACACACACACACACAGACAGAAGCTCACCTGGCAGGCTGCTAAGGGTCAGGTGGGCTGATGGTCGCTGTGTCACTGTGGTCATAAACTTTGACCCTGATGTATTATATGAATGGGGCATGGCTCTTGCTTCTGAGGGAGAGACAGACAGTAGACAATCAGCACATTCAAATACATCATAAAATATTTACTGGTGTTGCGCAAGACATGTTGAACTGATCTTGGAACTGCACTGTGTTCCGGTACAGTCTATTTTTGTCATTGTTTCTGTAGCACTGTACTTTAAGCTGTAATTGTGATTCTGCCGATTACAGAGAAATGACTGATCGTATACTCACCGTGTAAAGCCTGTTTGGAGATGATACTGTCTGTAACCTGTGGCAAAAACAAAAAAGTCCCATTAGTACAGTGACATGTGATGACTCTTCAAATTCTAGATTGTTCACAGGAATGTGAAACTAGATGATTCAGTTTTATGAGCGTGTCTTTCCCCCTTTTTGGTTTTTGTTTCTTGTCACACAGGCAGATAACTGCGGTTAAAGTTTACCTCAAGTTACGAAACCGCAACTTAAGTTAATTGTCCATTTTATTACAGAAACACTTACATTTTTTTATCCTTTGAAGATGACAGTTTCTAAGCACAGAAACGATCACGTTGTGTTGAGCTGGAGGGTGAAAACAGCTAAGAATAGTTTTTAAGGTGACCTTTCTCAAGGGCTGTTTTTCAGTAGCCTGTGACGGCCATATTTCAACCAGTCAAACCCCAGCATCCAGATCATTAGTCCCACCGGCCGGGTCTTGAACTAAAAACACACTGATTACTGGCTCATTTCCATCGCCTCAGGCCAGCCTCAGCTCTGGGATTTAGTACGTTCCAAACACCATCTGATTTACCTAAATTAAATTAATTGAAACCTCTTGATGATTTGTTAAAAATGTAGTCAGGGACTGAATCACTGCATTAAAACCATTCAGCAAAAAACACCACGTCAAATAATAGGGAATTTCATCAGCGGTGGGAAAAAAAAAATTCCATATCCACAAAGTCGTTCAGATTTCAAAAATCTACTAACAAGCCAAAGTTTAACCCAACTCCCTCAGGCTGGTTTTGACCTCTCCGCACATTTTCCTTCCACTCTCTTGAATACTTGTTGGATAACGGTTAAATGCCACTAGTTACAAGAAATATAAAGTTTGGCATGTAAGATTTATAATATGTGTTAATGTATAGAATTTATGGTGTTTTGCCTTTCAGTGTTTCGCAGTACATTACGATATGTTCGGTTGTTGTGTATGACTGTCTGTGTTAAAATATTAACGGCTTTTTAAAGCAAACACTTTAATTTTAGCTTTCTGACATGACTGTGTTGATAAATCAACAAATGACTGTTTTTTTTCTTCTTCTTAAGGAATAATAGTTTATTCCCTTCTCTCTCTCTCTGTCCCCGCCTCCCCAGCCCCCCTCTGTCTGGCATCATCCAAGAGTGAGTGTGTGATGGAGTCTCTGTTGTTCTTGGCGCTCTCTCTCTCTTCTCCATTCATCAGACAGCCGAGCGCCTGCAGCCTTTATAACGTGACATAATCTCCAGGCCACAGCAGAGATGGATTTCTGACCAAGGCTTATACTTTTTCACCATAATTTCTGGTAAATGATCCTGAAATCAATTCCATGTTTCACATATGGAGCAGATAAAGGGCTGTTTTACTAGCATGTTCTTGTACATGCAGCATGTCATACAAGAAAGACAGAAGGAAAAAGCGAACAAGATTGATAGAAATCATTTAAATTGTCTTTATAATTAGTATACTCTTTCCTGCTATGCTGCTTTTATTGTATTTACTCTGCTATGTATTATTCTACTTTTCTGGATGGATGGATGGATAGATAGATAGATAGATAGATAGATACACAACACAACATCCTATTGGACTGCAAGAATAAATTAAGAATCCAAAACTCCTGTAGGCATTTTGGTTTATCCAGTAAGATCTTATGGGATTCTTAGTTGATCCCATTAGGATTCTTTCGGATTGGTTCCCATTTATGACAGAAATTCCAATAAGAATCCATCACACAGGCTTTTTTCTGGCTAAGGACTCAGTGAGGCCTAGTTAAAGTGAGTGCGCAATCTGTTTTCTGGAAAACACAACATAGTTCAGAAGGTGGAGGGCAGAGAACAGGCCCATACAAAGACCTCAACAATAACAATAAACACACCCAGCGTTAAACCTTTGGCCTCCTGCACCCGTGCGCCAGAAAAAGGCAAACGGCCAGGGAAGATTTTTCCTTCATTCAAGGAGCAGGAAGTTGGTGAGTGCATGCACACAGCGTGCGAAGAAAGCCATTAGCGTCCTCTCCAGCTGAGCTCAGTCGAGATCAATCCAATACTTTAAAACAGCCGTAAGTGCCAGAGTTTGCTCTGTCGTTGAGATTCTGAAGCACAGCGCATTCCCTTCCTCCAGGAGGAATATTAATAAATAACTGTTGCTTTCCTTGGGGCGTAAAGCACGGTGAACAATAAATCTGAATGCTAGACTTTGCTCAGTGTGACTCAGGTAAACGGCTAATAACCCACACAGTACTGATAGACACACACACACATACACACTATACTTACTGGACACACACGCTGGATAAAATCAGTGCACGCCTGTTATGGGCCTTTAAATGAATGGGGTGTGTGTGTATGCTTACAAGTTGTTTCCTGCCATTCTTGGCTGCCGTCTGAGGTCGGCCCCATTCCTCTGTCCCCTGGCCCCCTTCACCGTTCCACTACAGAGCCCAACAGTCTGACCTTAAGCACTATGAGAATTCATCTCTCTCTTTTTTTCTTTCCCTCCCCCCTGTAAAAGTCTGCATCTATTCACCTGGGGCGGCTGCTCCAGCTGTGCGTAAGTTACAACTCCGCTTAGTTGTAGCATAAATGAGAACTACATTACAACCACTAAAAATGTGATCACTGGACCATTACACTTAAATCAAAAGTAAGCCTTTGTATGAACTAAATATTTATGAAATCCTCTGACCAGGAGAATGTAATTCAGTTGGTCTGCCAGTAATATGACCGACTGATTGGATTATATCAGTGAGAGTGTAATTTGTGTGACATATATATTATAGACACATATATATATATATATATTATAGTTTGGGGTCAGTAAGGATTTTTTTAAATGTTGTTTGTGAGACATCTCTAGTGCTCACCAAGGCTGAATTTATTTGATCAAAAATACAGTAAAAAGAAATATTGTGAAATATTATTACAATATAGTAGAAGTATATTGTGTTTTAATATATTTTAAAAAGTGATTCAAAAGCTGGATTTTCAGCAGCCATTACTCCAGTCTTCAATATCACACGATACTTCAGAAATCATTCTAATATGCGGATTTGGTGCATCAAAAACATTTCTTATTGTTATCACTGTTGAAAACGGTTGTGCTGCTTAATATTTTTTTTGGAAACAGTGACGCTTTTCTTGAATAAATAGAACATTTTAAAAAGCATTCATTTAAATTCGAAATCTTTTTAAACATTGTTTTTACTATAACATTTCTATACATTACTATAACGTTAGGCATAACATTTCTGTCACACACTTGAGGTATTCGGCCAATCACAACGCACTGGATAGCTGGCCAATCAGAGCACACCTCGCTTTTCAGACCGATGAGCTTTGTAAAAATCGACGCGTTTCAGAAAGGCGGGGCATAGAGGAGAAACAATAATGTACAATAATGTACAGTATGTGGAAAATAATGTGTTTTTTGAACCTTAAACCACAGAAACACATTTCATTACACCAAATACACAAAACAATGTTCTTTTTAGCAACATCATATCACCCCTTTA